GGGCTGTACCATCCATTACGAACTTCAAATGCTAAATTACCAAATGCCAAATTAGCAAGTACCAAATATGGGGAGGTACCGTTATATGGGGGCTATAAGAAGACGTAGACCTTCACAGACAATTTTTTGTCTTATGCTGTAGAATCCATTACGAACTTCAAATACCAAATTTGAAACCATTCCGATGAATAATGTCGCTAAAATCATCAAAATACCGAATATCGGGAGGTACCGTTATAGGGGGGATATACGAAGACACAGACAATTTTCTGTCTCAGGCTGTAGTATCCATTACGAACTTCAAATACCATACCATAATAACAATTTAATGTCTTAAGGTAAGGTCACATTGAGCAAATATTTGACGAAAAAGTTCAAATATAGGCAAAATTAACTAAGCTAAACCTGGAAAAACTTTAAGCCAGCTTGGTGTAAACTCAAATTTCTTCTTAAAAATATCAAAAATCGATGTGCATAAAGAGTTGTTTGGTATGAATATTCGGCTTAATATAATTAAAACTCAAGGAACAAATTGAGTTTAGTTCAAAATGGCGGAAAATTCCCCTTGGGGTCTTGAGCACAGAGTTTTCCACCATCTCAAGATAACCTCAATTTAGGCCCAATATTACCACAGGAACCCCTCGGGGTCCTAAGTACGATGAGGTAAAGTTCTACTAGTGCCTGATATATTCCAGTGTTTAAGAGCAATCAATGCGATATGACTACTTATGTACAGACCAGAGCACAGGCTAAACCTCCTTTTAATATTTCAAGTTTTTAGAAGGTTATCAGGTTTTGTAATCTCCGGAACTAGGGCTTCATATCGTCACCCATTGGTTGGCCTTATAACCACTGGAAATATACCAAGAACTAAGAGGTCTAGTCCTATAACTGGACTAGTATGGATTTCCCCGGAAATGTATATCGCCGTGCTCAAGACTCCAAGGGGAATTCAACCTACCCACACCGTACTACGTTCATAAACATTAATACCCCGAATGTAAACACACATATATTTTACAAAATAACTTTGTAGATTTTATTTATATAAAAACTAGTCCACAAATTTAGTTTTCACCGACAGTACGGATAATATCGGAATCGCCAGCATCGGTGATGGACATGGTGCACACACGGAAGTATTTACCGCAGGCAGTACCCAAATCGATATTGGTACCACTGTAGTGTTGAACTTCAGTCTTGGCCAACATGGCGTAGTATTCAATTTCAGATTTTCTATAAAGAAAAAAATAATATATTCATTAATTTTACATGGCTTGCAAATGCAAAGCTTATAGATGGTTTTAATTTTTCATCAGAAAGAGTCTCTAGTAAAATATGTTTCAACATAACATTGTCTGCATAATACATTCATCATAAAAATAAATGATCCTTTTCATTTTTGTCTTCGTTTGAAACTCAAACAACAACTTACTTGTATACAATTAACGCAACAGGAACCCGATGAAGTCTTGTAACACATTTCGAAGATGCTTTTGAATAGTATCTTGTACAATTCTGCACACGCATTAACAGAGAGTGCCTCAGCAACAACTACAACTGCATTTGCTTTATGAGGAATCATACTTCTCAGTCTCGCAAGACTCCATATGGTTCCCGCAGCACAATTGCACTTAGGTAAGTAGTGATTTTGTTCCAAAAACTTTGCAATCAAGTCTTTGATCCACTATCCAAATTTCTCACCTCAAGGCAGGAGTGTTGGTGGCAATGAGTACCAATTTAGCTTTGCCTTGACGCAAAGTCTTCAAGGTTTGTTTGTAACCCAAGCAGAATTTGCCAGATTTCATCACCAAAGCCAATTTGGAGTTGATGGAATCCAAAGCCTTTTTCTGTAATCGTATGAAATAAATAAGAGGTTAGAGACAATTCTCATAAAAACACGTGTAAAGTAAAAACTTACAGTCTTCTTGACGGCAACCATGTTGATTAGTTCTTATGTTTTAATTGATATAAAATCAATGACAGTTCTATTGAGAAAACAAAATAATTCATTAATTTATAATAAAAAAAAATATTGTTTAGTAAAAAAAAATGCACCCACCTCCAACGACGGATACTGGAAAAAGAAAGAAATAGTGCCTCGGCAACGGAAGTATAAAATTGTCAAAATAACACTCAGTGTTGATTTTTGTTTGACAGTCTATTTCTATTTGCCAAAACTGATGCGCGACGTTATGCATGACGTACATACGTTCTATATTTTTAAATGATAATATGTACTTACACGTTTCCATGGAATAATATGGGATTTCGTTTGATAGTTTCTTTAAATGATTTGAACAAATTCAACTTAGAAAGAATGCATATTCATTCATAAAATATGTGTAGGCGCCGACATACTAGTAGAAGAATACAGGTAGATGCATCAACGCTTCAAATATAAGTAGATTTTTATATGTTTTTTATACCGCTTCCTTCGGAGTGTTTAAACAATTTTTGCAAATTTAAATAATTTTCCAATTAACATTTCAATTTCAAAATAGGTATGACAGTTCATTGTCCCAGCTAATGTTGTGCCCGCTTCTTGTCAGAACTATTAAAGTCAGATGCAAAAAGTTTTGATTTATTTAATATTTTTAAAATGAGTAAAACAGCACAAAAGATAAATGAAATACGTGGATTTTCCTTTTAAAAATGATAAAAACTGTTCAATATTTCAATTACATGCCAAAGCCGATACATTTTTTTTAATATGCGCTTCGATATGTACCCCTCTTCCCATCATTGATTTTGAAAAAAAAAAAATGTTTTTATTTTTCAAAACAATCAACCATGGTAGAAAAATACAGGTAGATGCATCAACGCTTGAAAGCATTGATATGTCAAAAAATTTTAAATTTCTTTTTAAATACAAGTACATTTTTATATGTTTTCTTATACGACATCATTCCCGTTTTTCAACAATTTTTACAAATTTAAATAATTTTTCATTCAACATTTTCAATTCCAAAATTGGTTTGACAATTCATTGTCCCAGCAGCTGTGTCGATGCGTCTACCTATATTCTTCTACCATGCAATCAACACATGAAAAAAATTGATAGAAGTCTGGCACACCCCGAAAAAAAATTTCAATCAGCTGGTAGCTCTACTTGACATTTTTATTGTACCATGGAAAACATGTATTTTTGAAAAAATATTACAATTGGACTAATTTCAAAACAAAAAAATGTACAGGTTCTTATATTATGCTCTGTTCCAGAACCTGCAAAAATATACTAATTTTAATTTATTTTATTATTATTATTATTATTATTATTATTATTATTATTATTATTATTATTATTATTATTATTATTATTATTATTATTATTATTATTATTTATTTATTTATTTATTTATTTATTTATTATTTTTTTTTTTTTTTGATATTTCAAAGGGAAAATCTTTTATAATAGTAAAAAGTTTTACATTCTAGCCATTCTGGAACAGACCAATAACTCATGGTAGAAGAATACATGTATATGCATCATCGCATTTTTAAAATGTTTTGTTAAAAATAAGTAGATTTTTATAAGTTTTCTTATACGACGCAAATCGGGGGTTATTTAAATATGCATTAAAAAAAATTTTGTCAAATTTCAATAATTTTTCATTCAACATTTTCAATTTCAAAATCGATTTGACAGTTCATTGTCCTAGCAGCTGTGTCGATGCGACTACACGACTATATGTGTTCTTCTGCTGTGTAATAACTGCAGAATTCAAAGAATATCAGTGTTTGCATAATACATTTTTTGAAAACTTTATCCAAATTGAAAAGAAAAGGAATAAAGCGATTATTTTATCTCAAATTCAAAGAAAAGGCGTTTTTTCACTTTGCTATTGTGGCAAATTTTACCTTTTTAAAATGTAGGGAACAAATCCATTTTATCTATAAAACCAAATAAGGACGATATGATCAATCACAACCAATACTGCAAACACTCAAAAATTTATTGTAGCAATCCCAAATTCAGTTTCATTAAATATGGTGGTAAAAAGTAGGCATATGTTGCCAAGATAAAAAACAATATATTTTTGCCAAGTATGACACGAAAATAAAGGTAGATTAAAGCAACCTCCTAAATATTATTTTTGTGTCGCCCAAAACCCGTCAAAAAAACTTAATAAAAATAAACTAAAATAAATTTAAATTCACATGGAATAATCATTTATATTTACAACCAAACTTAACCAGAAAGTTTGTTCAAATTCATAGGAGCAAGGGAGAATGTAACTATGTACTAGAGTCTTATTGTTTCAAATATGCGTTTATAGTACGCTAATATTGTTTATTTTAAACATTTCCACCAATTTTGTTTATTGGGGATGAACTAGAAAACATGAATTGAAAGTTTAGGGTTTTCACAAAATGTAATCCAAAATAGAAAGACAATAAGTATGTACGATGACTTTTCTAGTAAAAATTACCTAGTAAAGTTCCCTGAGAAAATTTCACTCTTACGTTCAAATATTGCGGTAAACCCTAGAAAAAGGGTTGTTTCTAACAATGAATGTATTAAACTTTTAAATTGTTGAGGAACTGAAATCAAAATTATAATTTTTGTAATGAAAAATAAGTTATTCATTGGAACAGAGCAATATTTTATTAAAAGCAACCTTAAATTATCAGTTTTGTATATGGCACTGCGATATACGGAAACAGAACATGATGATTTTATTTTATTACATACATTTTATTGATATTTCTCATTTTTATATAAAAAACGTGTTTTTAACACGGCACAAACAGCTTCGAATTTACTAAAAAACGCAAAAAGTTCTTTGTTTTTTTGGAAATTTCTGTTCATCATAACATGTAGAGAAATTGCAAAACTAGCAGATTCTTACAGGTTTTGGAACAGAGTACACGTATATGTTAGGACGCAAAAAAATTGCAATTGGAAGGCTGCAATGTTCGACCTGGACACTTTACATCTTTTTTAACCATTTAACTTATTATATAATTAAAAGTCAGCATACAAGATTTCTGAGAAATTCTAATACATTTTTCTATTTGTTTATTATCTTGTTTTGTTCCTATTTATATTAAATCGAATATACACAAAATACTAAAATTTTTCTTAAATATCATAATATATGTGAACATGTACCATTGCATACAACTAAAGGAAAATCCAAAAAGGTTATCTTAATAAGCTACCATTTAATACCATCATTATCTAAGGCATTTAATAAATCTTTAATATTACGATAACCTTGTGTGGGTTGTGTTCTTTCGAGATCTTCTTCGTTCGTCGTTAACAGAATGCTGCTCCAGCCAGCGTTACGTGCTCCCTCATAATCCATGGTGTACATATTTCCAATATGTAATGCCTCATTGGATTGTATATTGCATTTATTTAAGCAGGCGTCATAAATTTCCTTATGCGGCTTTTCAAAACCCACGTCATACGATGTCATTATAAAGTCAAATTTCTCATCCAAATGTATCTCTTTTAACACCTGCCTCAGACTGGGGTCAAAATTGGATATTACACCGATTTTCTTGCCACTATTTCGCACCCTATCAATTAGTTCAACTCCGCCATCTATGTGACTATAACACTCCTTTGTACGATAGATTCGAACTAGTGTGTTTGCAACTTCTTGTAGTTTTTTAGGGTCGATGTCGGGCTTAACGCAAAGAAAAATATTTTTTACAAGAGACGTCCACCATTCTTGCCAGGTGAAATTTGGCGTGTTGTAACCCCAGTTCGGATGCAATTTCTTCATAGCTTTGAATTCGCGTTTGAAACACGCCTCCATGGCACTTTGGTCTATGTCGGTGACTCCCAGTTGAGCAGCTGTTTTGGCATATTGCACTGCAGGTGGTTTACTAAAACGTACCAATGTATCGGTGATGTCGAATGTTACCAAACGAAAACGTTTTAAGTTGTCTATTAATCTCGTCGTATTGGACATTATTTTGATTATTTTGCCCCGCTCTGCCTTAAAGTATTATGAAATCCTTTACTCTCCTTCTTCCTCATATGTCCAATTGTGTTTGTTTACCTTTAGGTAGGTTTTCGTAAGTCTAAATTTGCCTAATTGATTACTCGGCGCAAAAATGTGCGGTAGAAATCGCATCAAATTGACACTACATTTCGAAAGATTTAGAAAAATGGTTGCATTAAAAGTACTCCCCTTTTCCTAATCATGCAGATCGTGCCATAAAATAATTAATTTTTAATAAGTATATCAACAAGTATCCTTTTCCAAAACAACAACTCATTTGATATTTCCATCAGAACTGTATGTCCCTATTTTACAACTGTGGTCGTTTTTACATAGCATAGAAACAGCTGTACATGCAGTTCAGTGTAGTGTCGCTCAGTTTATGCCATAAACAATAGGTGTACTCGCTAATTTGCTGTTTGTGTATTTATTAGTATTTTTTTGTCAAAATTGTCATTAAAATAAAGCCTATTGAAAGATCATAACTTAAAAATATATATCGGCTTGTATTGCTGGATGTCGAAGGTAGTAGTTGCTGAATTCTTAGCGAAGAGGTACTAACAACTTGATAATGGATGGAGATGGAGAGGTTCCGTGTAAGAAGTCTAAATCTAGTACGGTGTCCATAACACCAACTAAGGAAGATGTGGCATCTGACGATAAGGACGTCAAACCGAAGGATGTAAATATAACCAAGACCACATCAGATGCTTCGTCACCAACTACAGCCGTAACTGCGAAACGACCCAAAATCTCTTGTAAAAATCCCAAATTCAGTTACATTGAACCTGGTGGTAAAAAGTTTGTTTGGAAATCCTTAAAACAAATTGTTACACAAGAAAGATCATTACCATGGCCGGATGATGTTGTTTTGTGTATGTATAAAAAGTGCCAATTGACTAGATATTATTATATACTTATTATGAATTACAGATAATTCCCTAAATGCGCCACCATCTTTAAAACCTGCCAAGAAGTATTCCGATATTTCCGGATTGGAAGCACCTTATACTGACCCCCAAACTAAGCTACATTATCACAATGCCGAAGAATTTCGTATCATAAGAACTTTGCCATCGGATATTATACAAGGATATTTGGCACTCAGAGGTGCTACTAATATTGTCGGTTAATAATAAAATATATTACTATTAGAATAGGCAGTAAGGCGTAATAAAAAGAGTTTAAGTATTTTCCAAACAAAAGCAAAATAATTTTCATTTAAAAATTAACACGAAATCGCAATAATATAGTGAGCCTTAGTCTTTAGCAATCTAGGACAGTTATTCATAACATTTCTTTAATCTTCAACTAATGTTTTAATGGTATTTATTAACGTCTATTAAAATTATAAAATTGTAAATAATTTGTCATATATAGGTATGCAGCAACAAAAATTTTTGATTTATTTTTTTCCTGGGTTTTGAAATTTAACTTACTGTTGTCTTAAATTGAAAATAATTGAAATAATTTTTCGATTATCTTTTATTTTGTTGTATTAAATGAAATAATATTAAACTAAATTTATGAAACATAGAGTACACAAATAACATTCTCATTGATTTAATGAATTAAAAAATGGTAATTAAAGCAAAGACTCCATACAATAGGGCACAGGGATAGGCGATCAAAACTTGTTGATGATCCATTGAGTAGGCCGTAACAAAAAGCTTAGATGCTGACAACGAACACCATAGTATGCACACACCAGCAACAATTAATCCGATTGTTCCTCTGAAAATGTAAAATATACTTTAATAAATAATTCTTTGTCAATTTGTTAGCACATGTCCAGAATTATCTATTTGACATAGCGCCACTCTTTTAAACTAGAGCTTGAATCAAATTTTACTACATTTACTTACTGTATCGTTATCAAGACATTAACCCCTGATAACACCACCATGGGTAGTAAACAATAACCCAAAACTGAGACAACTGCACCAAATGTTACGTTTGCTTGTGAAGCCATAAGGCTTAGCAAACAATAGAATGCAATACTACCCATAACTCCAATGCCATAAATATAAGAAAATGTCACTTTGCCACTCTGAAAGGTAAATTCAATGTGGAAAACGTTTATTTATAAAATTTGTTTCGTTGTTGATCTCTAGCGAGGCACTTACCAAAAGTAAAAATCCACCCAATGCTAAACAGAAGACTAATGGACCAGCCATGTCAGTATCCTGAAGTATTTGTTGATCGGCTCCACGCATGGGATTCAAAACAGCCAATGTCTGTGAATAAGAAAAATTTAAGTAAATACTAAGCAATAAAAACCACGTAATCAAAAAAAAAAGTTTAGAAAATGATCAGTTTCTTAAAATATTTAATAAGATCTTGGATAATTTGTTGCAATTGATCAGCCCTTTACCAATTAATAATCAATGAAAGTTATATATCGGAAGGAGTCACTCGTTTTTTTAATAATACTGGTTTTTGAAATTATCTGTAGTCTAAAGGCTAATTTGGTCAAGTAACGTGAAAACTCAATTTTCTAAGTCAATTTAGGCATTATTTAACTTTGTTAAGAAGAATCTAATGGTAATAATACAATTTGTTTTATTAATATTACTGTAAACAAAAGGAGCTGTCCAGCAATGATTCGTCATATCTAAGGTCTAGGTCCGAGATCCCTTTAAATATTTTCGATATACGAATTTACCTTTTGAAAAATATGGTTAGGATTTATACCCAACTCCTCCAACAATGGTGGTTCATCTTCAAACTCATTTCCGGTATTGCCACCGCCTCCAGCTTTAAAGCCCTTATCGTTTTGATCGTATGGATTTGGTGCATAGGCATTTGGATCGTAAAATGAACTCATGCCACTGTTGTTGGTATTGGGATAATTCATATCATAATTTGGGGGTACATTTGTTGGTGTATTTTCAAAATTCTGAAAATTTCTGTAAGAAAAATACATTTTAAATAACATAGTGTGGATGATGGCAACCACAACTTACAATTCTTGTTCGAACTCCGGCATATCAAAGTTGTATGAATTATCACCGCTCGTGTAAAAGTCATTGGGTCCACCAAAATTAGCCATTTTGTGATTGTTTATAGAATAACACCTTAAACTAAGCTTAGGGAAAGGAGGTTTTCCTTTTTATTTTTTTCTATTTCAATCAGAAATCCACGAAAGCAAACAAGAATTTGGATGTAGGGATGACAAGGTCGATTTTTGAATATGCATTTATATGACGGATAACAAAGTGCTAGCAATTGCTTTGTCGGCGGCATGTTACTGAATCAGCGGCGTCATTTCGCATCATTCAGGGAGTTCACACATTCCAAGTCAAAAAAAAAAAACGTTAAAAATATAATAACGGGTTCATACATAATTGTGCACAATAATGTTTTGGGATTGAATATATACCCAACATACCAAAAATAAATGAAACTATAATACAGCTTGAGAACAATATTATTATTAATAGTTGATTATAAACAATCATGATTTCAACAGACAGACTGACATCGTTAAATCGACTTAGAATTTTATGGTGATTATGAATATATATACTTTATGGGGTCTACGACAAATATTTAGGGATGTTATCAAACGGAATTACAAAGTTAATGCAAACGTGTGATAGCAAGAATTATGAGTCATATGTAAAATGGCTATTTTGACATACACACCGATGAAAAATGTTCATAGAATAAAGGTGTGGGTAATAAGCAGTTTGAAGTCCTGGCATGAAATATTTTGTGACACATCATAAAGCGATGCTAGACCCACGCTCGAACCCTGTCACCGTTTTTCATTATAATTTGACATTAATATGCCATCTTCTAATGAGTCCATTCATTGAAAGGACCACATATACTATATCTAGGGCAATAAATACATCTAGGTAATGCGTGTGTATAAAACAAATGCTCATGAGAATGTTCAATTGAATTGCTAAAGGTGGGAATACATAAAGCGCTTATTTGGCTGGCTTAAGTCATCGGCTGTCTTCTTCGCAGAGGAACAAAGGAGTTTTAGGTTGACTTAGTTCGATTTTGGCCCTAGGCTCCTTTGATCATTTCCAAAGAAGCCAGCCGATGACTTAAGCCAGCCAAAAAAGCGCTGTATGTATTCCCACCTTAAGTAATTTAAAGCGATTCAACACAAAGATTTAACCAAATTGTTGTTTACATTTATAAAAATTTAATATTTTTCTTGAGTCACTGTACATATTTTTAGCACAGGTCACACGTGATAGGAAGTCATTAAGACAAACACAACGACGTGAAATGTACAACCTAAATAAACAAGGCCATGAAAATGACAACAAATTTTCTATTTACAATTTCTACGAAATATCTACCTTTTCGGGTTTTATAAACAAAAAATTGGGAAAAGGATTTGATTTCATACACAAATGTACTATTCTCATAGACTGCGTGTATGTGTTATTTTTTCTAAGATAAGACAAAGGAGTACCGTTTCCATATCTTCTAAATCATTGTTTATTTCTTAAAACAATCTAATTTATGACTAGCAGAACATTACCTACCTGATATCGAAGCATTAAATTTCTACCTGAATATCCTTGAAATATCAAAAAGAGAAGAGATATTTGTGTAAACTCATTCAAACACAGTACAGCTCATTTATGTGGTTAATTAATGAATGTCAACAATGACTTCGAGTTTCATAGGCATGCATAGGATCATAACTTGTATGTATGTATGTGTGTGTGTATTTATATAGAATAAATTAATGATTTATTTTGGTTTGGGCTTCCGATATGAATACAAAATAATTCCCACCATAAAATCAATATTAAAAATATATTTTTGTTTATAAAAATGGTTTTTATCGGGATATTAAAGGTGAGAATACATGAAACACTTTTCTGACTGGTTTCTTCGGAAAAAAACGAGAACATAGGGCTGAAATCGAACTAATTGCACCTAAAACTTCTACGAAGAAACTAGCCGATGACTTTAACCAGTCAAAACAGCCTTTTATGTACTTTCACCTTTACTTAGCACAGTAAAATTAAACCTTATCTTCAAAATGGAATAAACTGGAAAATCCAATCCATTCTCTGATGCTTTGGGGTTTTAACCCATGTGTTGTCATTATTCAATACCTCAACAAGCTGGTAATGCCTCTGTCATTCAAGAGAGTGCCAAACAATCATAAACCAATGACACGACCAAACATGA